TAACAGCAGGGTGTGGAAGAATTGATAGATAAATGCCCTCGAATTGACAGATGAGTACACTTGGCCTTGGCCATGCTGTTAACACAGTAGCTCTGTGTGCACCCCTTTCACCACCAAGATCATCACCCGTCACTGCCATCTCCTGAAGCAAAAATAAATCTTAAAGATTGTGAATGTGGAGACATTATATGCTTTTAAAATCATATACTTAAAGAGAAAGACGCGTCACTTAGTGCTATAGCTTAGAGCTCTGCAGTTCAAGAAGGTAGCACTGGTGGGCATGGGACAAGGGTCTGGTGCCCGACCGCAGCAATGTGGCCCCAGGTTGTGTGTCCTGCATCATTTACACACGATTCTGAAATCTATTTCCATTTAGAATATGTCCCATATGTGATATACCAAAAATTTCAGCTTAATATCTATGTTAAAATATTTTATTCTTGACTAAAAGGTCAAATATGAACAATTTTTTTAAATTATAATTTAACCCCTTTACAAAGTTTTTTATTGTACTGACCTTTTAATACAACATTCCATAATTTTATTAGACTTTTACAGAGGGGTATACATTAAAAATAATAAAGTGACCGCAGTTACTGACTGCCTTCTCTATCCCTCTTGTTCCCTTCAATAACAGGTAGAGAAGTGATGATGATTCCAGAGCATTATGTAGCCTGAATTCAAGGAAGATTAAAAATATACTCACTGTATACCATTTAACTATAAACTTGCTGTACTATGCTCACTAATGGACTAATGGAGAGAACCTACTAACTATGCAATTATCAATAAAAAACTTTTTAGTTAATATTAAGTGAAATATTTTATTACCTATGTTAACACTTAAATATATATAGTACTGTTATCATTTAAACTTTTCTTTAATCTCCTTTATGAAATAGAAAGTCTGGCGATGTTGCTTAAAAGGGTACAAAGTTTCAATTATGCAGCATGAATAAGTAAGTTCTGGAAATCTAATGTACCACAGGAAACAGTATTTAAAAGAATGTATTTTACTTGAAGTAACTTAAAATTTACTGAGATTGTTCCAAGTATTGGCCATTGAAGATACATTTTTCCAGACAGTATATTAAATACTTTAATAGAGTTGCATTGGAAGTGTGTGAAATGTTGTCACCATTTTCATGTAAAAAACATGCTGAACCTACTTTGTGTGGTGTGTGCCTGTGTGTGTGTGCATGTATTTTTTTCAAATGCCACTCAGCCCTTCTGATCCTGAAGTGAAAAACTCATCATTTGTTTTGCTTTATAACAGAGAAGTTCTTTGGGGGGCAAGTGTTGTTAACCTTGATTTTGTAGATAAAATTTCATAGGCGTCTCCTGGGGGCCGGGTGAATATTGTGAAATTGTATGCTAATGTGTGAAAACTATGAGATTCTATATTTAGATATATCATTTTCTGGTTTGAGCATCTTTACCTTTCATCTGATTCTTAAAACTTTCTCAAGCCATTGGGTTAAAAGGATCACAAATAGCTTTTGTTTTTATTTTTTTTTTTATTTTTTTTTGAGACAGAGTCTCGCTTTGTTGCCCAGGCTAGAGTGAGTGCCGTGGCATCAGCCTAGCTCACAGCAACCTCACACTCCTGGGCTCCAGCGATCCTTCTGCCTCAGCCTCCCGAGTAGCTGGGACTACAGGCATGCGCCACCATGCCCGGCTAATTTTTTATATACATATCAGTTGGCCAATTAATTTCTTTCTATTTATAGTAGAGACGGGGTCTCGCTCTTGCTCAGGCTGGTTTTGAACTCCTGACCTTGAGCAATCCGCCCACCTCGGCCTCCCAGAGAGCTAGGATTACAGGCGTGAGCCACCGCGCCCGGCCAGCTTTTGTTTTTAAACAGCTGGTTTGTCAGTTTAACATACTTGAGGAATTTTGAGGGCTAGTTTTATAATTAGAGCAATTATAAAGGAACAGAGCATTATAGACATTGTGTAGCACATCATGTTAAGGTTTATTTTTGTCTCAAAAACTTCCTACATCATCATATTCTTATGTCTAGATCATCATACTGGCCTGCTCCTAACCATCATGATGCTACTGTATCATACCACCATGGTGCAGTACTTACAGTCTGTTCCAAACATTACCTTCTGTATCTCCCATCTGGCACAGAAAGTTAAGGCTATCTAATAGAAGTTTTGATATTGGAATTGTGGTATGGAAAAGAATTGTGGAGTGAAAAATCTCAAATTTGTCATTGTATAGCATATATGTGTTTCACAAATCTGGCCAAGAGAATGGGATTTTATTGTTAAAACAAATTACTTGACTTTTGATTTCAGAAAGGAAAAAAATCATTTCTACTATGAAGATATTGCTCTTTTGATGAATTTTTGAAGTTGTTGGAAGTTTTATTTTAGCGATCTCAGAGATCATGGTGAAAAGTCACTCCAAACATGAATTTAATATAGATCTATTATTCCATAGAAACAGATTTTATGATGTAGCAATTAGTTGCTGGTGTCTTTTCATATAACGTGAGGGATCTCAGTCACTTCTTCAGCCAGTGACCTTCAGGAAGCAATGGTAGTCCAGGATCCAACCCATAGGTCATCCTGTTCTATCTACTGAATTTTCTTTCTATATGTGTTTGTAAGTGTGCTAATGACTTTTTTCTTAGGCAGTTCAGCCGCTTAGCAAATATTTGTGTCTGTTATAAGTGAGGGTAGTGTGCAGTGCTTTGGGGGATACAATAGTGAAAACAAATAAACAAGAAACAGTGGAAATGAAACAAAACAAAAACCTAGGCAAAATCCATGATCTGTCTGAGTTTGTTTATTAAATTACACACAGATATTGTAAAAACTAAATAAGTAAATGAATACATATACACACATATATGACTTGCATTCCTTGTGAGGGAGATGAAGTTTTTACTTTTAGTATAGTTTCATTTCATCATATGTTTAACCCTAATCATTAAATACATTTTAAGTGGTCTCTAAATTAATATGGAATTTACTACCATTTAAGGAGTTTCAAATTCTGGGAGTGTGTTTGTAATCAACAGTAGAAATAATGTTGATTCTGTTGATCCAAGTAGTAGAATGGAGCCAGAATCCAGCAAATCAGTAATAATTAGTAAAATTGTTTCCTAAGTAACGAGTAGTACTAGAAACACCTTACAAATAGCTCATTAGAAACAGTTAAACAGTTATTAGGATCTTATTAGTTATTAAAGTTATTGGGATCATCGTTGTTTTATTGTTGTTTTAACCTCTCTTAAAATAAAGTATTGTCAATATAATGCATATTACCAAGTTTATGAAAACAAAACAATACTCAGTGAGCTAAGTTGGACAAGGATTCAAATAGTTAGACACACACTTTTGAATTAACCACACAGATGTCCAGGTTGAAAGATGTCCTGGAGTAGTGTGTTTTATTGGAAAGAGAATAATATTTAGATCCAAAAGATCTGTATTGAAGGTTACTGTTGGCACCTTCTGTTAGAGGATAACCATGTGTCCAAGTTTTCTGGGGACGGTAACAATTTATGACTATTGCCTTTACACAATTAATAATATCAGCCTCTTTTCATTCCTAAAAATATATTGGTTTGGTGGACAGGAAAGTGTGTGATCACCCCTATTTATTATGGCAACTGTTTTCACAGCAATGAAGTATGCATGATACATTTAGCTTTTAAGGTTGTGATAGCTGGGAAAAAGCTTATGTTTAAGAAAATGTTTTGCAATCTAAATATCACTATAAGAACTATAAAAAGATATATAAATATTTGTGTATTCATTTAAGCAAAGTGATTAAGGTGAGAGTAGTTTTATTTTAATCATGTCATTCTTGAGTAATTTGGTATTACTCTTATTTGATTAGTCGTATAATGCCAATTTTACCAAAGTGCTTTGTGTTGCTATCAAGTCATAGATCATGACTGCAAGGAATATTGAAACCGTTTCTTTGCTTATATGAAGGATAATGAATATATTCCATTTAATTAAAAATTCAGTGAGTTTTCTAAACTGTTCAAAAAATGGAACTAACTATTGTATAATTTCATCACTGTTCGATTTAGTTTTGATTGTTCTTCCATTTATTTCTTTTTCATCTTTAAGAGATACTTACATGTCCTATCAGCTTTTGAAAATGATAATAATTTTGTTATTTCCATAAGTCCTTATCAGCGCTCACAGACTTTAATGCTTTCCCCTATGAATTTGATCTTAAGTGTGAAATTCTCAAACAGAAACACTTTCATGTGGCTCTATTCCTGAATCCTGTTTTATTTCAGATGATCCATTTAATCTCTGTAAGATGACTGCACCTTAGTTTTTTGAATTGCTTCCTGGAAAGCTGTTGGCGGACTTGTTATTAATTTGGAACAAAAGAAAACTAAACTGATTTTTGCCACCAGCAAATGACTTTCCAATTTCAAGGTCCCTTTATCAATAGGAAGAAGAAAGTAATTCTGCCTAAATCTGAGAAGCTTCTAACTGACCGTCAAGAGGACTACAGAAACTTGGCAAGCAAGAGTCAACTCACCATATGGAACTTTTAAAAATGTAGTTTCGGGGACAAGATGTTCAGGGATAATAATTGCTATCTTGCAGAGTTATTAAAAGCATTAACTAGATAATGTATATGAAAGCATCTGGCCAGCATCTGGCCAGTCACCTGCAATTCTGAGTAGGTACTTAATAGATATTAGCTGAGTAAATGAGCAAGATCTGGGATGAATGAAGGAAGAGTCCAGGGGATGTAGCCTACCAAATAATGCTCTTTCTTTTATTTTTTTCTATGCCAGCCAAGACCCTCTCCCTTAAAGATTAGTGCAAATGACCATGAATAAAAGTTCATTTGATCAACTCAGATAATCATTTTGACAAGCTTGATGTGTCTTTTCAATCACTCAAATTTTTTTCTACTTCCAAAATCTGAAATTGAAGATTCTGAACCACCTAGATTAGGATTTGAGGTCACCAAAAGACTCAATTTTACTATCTCCATCTACTGGCAGGGAGGAACTATACCCAAGCATCTGGACTGGCATAGAAAAGAGGAGAAAGAACATTTAAAAGGTAAGCAAAACATATATTTTTATTTACTCTGAATTTTTAAACTTTTCTTATCATACACTCTATTGTACTGTCACATAATTAAGGTTGATACAATGAGCCATCTTAAAGTGAGAGAATTTGTTTACATGGCATAATACTCTTATCTGATTCTTCAACATGAGCACGTTTGGACTTGAATGCCTTCCTTTTCATAAAGGCAGTCTTTTGTGTCTTTGCACTTCTAAGTTTCTATCAAGTCATTCCAATGCTCCCGTGCTGTTTTTATATTCTTAATAACCTTTAAACTGCAGTGTGCTTACTGAAATGTCTGTGTTCCCATTTCTGTAAATTCTCTACATATTTAAGGTAATTTTGCCTGGCACATTATTTTGAATGTTATGATTTAGAGAGAGTAAAGTATGTTTGTCAAGGTGTTATTTATTATTCTCGTGTTTCTTAGATTCTTCTTTTCATCCTGCATTTATAAGTATTTTAGTTTGGCAGAAAGTGCTGAATTAAAATTTCTTGTTAATTGATGAGTAACAGTCATAGTACATATCAACTCTTTTAATTTGGTATTTTGTTTTCTCATCAGAAATCTTGAAACTGTATTGGTTTACTTTTAACACAATTATAGTGATTAAACTTTGTAGTATAATAACTGCGGTAAAATAAGTACCCTGCTGGTTGTGTGGTTGGGTGATACTAGATCACAGGAAGTTTAAATCAGGCATTTTACATGATGAGTATAGTTGTTCTTAAGTGTTATGTGATGCAGCTCTTTCTTTTAAAAACACTATCTCAACATGAGAATAGAAGTAGTAGACCTTTGTCAAGATAATTAGTATTATTACAATTTCTGCAGTTACATTAAGTTGTACTTTATTTCCAGTTAGTGTTCTCCTCCTCCACCATTTTTCCTTATCCTTGTTTCATTTCTTTGGACAATGTTACATTTCTTTTAGAAGAGGAATGGGTGGATTTTTAAGGAACACAGATGGAGAGTTTTCAACTTCAAAATTAGGTCTCATGGGCAAGAATTTCCAAGGAGAAATACTGTGTTCAGACAGGTCTGTCACTTGCTGGGAGGTCATGAATGCAGCTGGTCCATTTGCCGGCTGGGGGATTACACTCATATAAACAGTACAAATGCCATAAAAAAGGGATTTTCAAATCTTCTTGTGGCATCTGACAATGTCCAGTCTGACAAATACATCCTCAAAGTTTGTCCTGAAATCAGAAGACAAGGAAGTAGTTATTTTGGAATATTGAAGGAACTAGTAATAACAGGGTGTAAGAGAATAATTTCATCTTACAAATGGACTTCTGAGGGATGTCATAAAGTCAACTCAGTCCATATTTTGAATGAAAGTATATATCTTCTTGAATCTATTCCATCCTCTCTTTCAGCTCCTCTTTTGAGCCCCATTGTCCTTTAATCTTTGGATTGATTTTAAAACTATTGTCATAAAGCTAGCTGTTGCCAAATAATCTTGCTATGGTTATGTTCAAGCCAATTCTAGGATGGAGGATACCTAAAATCTTCATGTTTATGCTTATTCACTCTTATATTATAGACCAGCTGGATGATAAGAATAATCTAAGCTCAGATGGAAACACTTGGCAAAATCGGGCTTTCTCATTACTATTAAAAATGTCTTTGCTTTGAGAAAATTTAAATCTCTCATAACACTGTATGAGTTTTATTATTAAATTATCATTTTCATGTCTTTAAACACCTAACATTTATATTTGCCATATTTTCATATCACTTTTAGATCAACAAGAATTGTTAAGGTTAGAGTGTGGGGTAAGGAGGTAATGTTTTCCACCAGGGCAGAATGGTTAGTGCATTCATGAGCATATTTGTTGAAATTCAGCCTATGAGAGGCTGTCATGTCCCGGGAAAATTGCTCTTTATTTATTCCTGATATGTGAAATTACTGCTGAAACCAAAGATCTTGCTATAAATGTAACTTATCAATCTCAAATATTGCTTATGGGAATGCAAACACTTCATCTTTTATTGACATTTAATAACATAAGACATAAGATAGGAGGACATGAGTTGTATAGAAGTGACTGAATTTATTATTTTTGTTTTCAGACAGCATTCATAAGACAGTCATAGGATCATTGCATACACATTGTATGCATTCACCTTTGAACATAAACTGCTAAATATATCAGGAAACAGTAAAGTCTCACTTTTCAGCATTAATATATTAAGCTGAGTATATTAAGACCGAAATAAAAATATGTCTATTTTATTGTTTCTTAGAATTCATTTATTTTGCCTGATTCAGAGCTTAACTTAAAAGAGAATTCTTAAGCATCTTTTACATATTCATTAAAGGCATAAACTTATGGACTTATTTGCATTTTTCTATGAAGGAGTAAATTTGTATTGCTTTCTTTGTCACTGTTATTTTCATTGATAAATTTGAAACATTTTCCTGTCAAAATGTTGGTATTTTGTCTAGACATTTTAGGCTCACAAAGTAATTAGTAACTATCTTCCATATTTTAAATGCTAGCAAATTTTAATCTGAATGTTGTAAATTATATGTCCAATGCAGATAGAAATTGATAGATGCTGAATCTCTAAACGTTAGCCAGTTTTTGCTATAGCAATATGATTTGGTATAAACATATTTTGCTGCTTAAAACATTTTAGAGTTCCTAATATTTTGCGTAAACTTTCTACATTGAATAATAGTTTTAATTCAGTAAGAGAATTGATTATATATTGAAGAAAGTCAATAGTGAGTCTTTAAGGTGATTTTTTCTTTTGTAATGTGAGTTACTCCTAATTTTTCTCTCTTCTACATTCTGATTTTGACTTTGTGGTGTCTAAACTAACATACAACTTAACAGAATAAAAAATAATAGCATTGCCTAAACATGTTTCACTATAGTGGAGTGTGTAATTGTGTGTGCATGCAATTGTATTCATTACTAATTGGTGTGTGATAAAGGCTTTGAGGAGATTCTGTATTTATATACGTGGCTGTTTATTCTGTGCCATATTAGGTAAGAAGATTATGGCTAGTTTGTCTCCAGTAATTGAGCCTTCATTTTCAAAAGTTATATCCCATTGTGTAAAACCAAATAGATTATTTTACCATTACCTTAAGGCTAAAATACCATGCTGTCAAAATCTTCACCACTTCCATATTACATTCCACGTACTGGAAGAATGTTACAGAGCCTCCTTGCTGAGCCTCCTTGCATCAATTTATGATGCAAATTGGGGTGTTTTCAAAGGCCAAGGAGGTGTGGTGCTAATAATAATAATCACACCAGGATAACAGACTTAAACCAAGGCCATCTCAGGTAAACCCAAATGTATGTTCACTATGTAATGGTTTTAGCTGTAAGTATAAATAGTTCTAACTCTAATTGGCTTAAATAGTAAAAGTGATTTAATTATTCACTTAATTGAGAGGCCCAGAGTTGAGGTGAGTGTGATTTGTGTGATTTGACCTGGGATCTAGCTCAGTGTTTCTATACTACCATGTATCCACCTGCATTTGTATATTGACTTTTTCATTAGACTGGATTCCATTATGATAGATAAAGGACTACAGTATTTCTGGATCCCATGTCTACACCCCAAATTTTCTTAATCCCAGTGATTGAAAAAAAGCCATTGGATTTATTCCGATTGGCCCATTAGAGTAACCATGCCCTGAGGGAAATTGGTTTATATGGATTTCCCAAGCTTACTTGTGGGTGGGGTCAGTGCATTCCTTATCCAGCGGCTGCTACTTAGGGGTGATGGGTGAGGCTGGGCGGATGCTCACTATGTTCACTTTCCCCCATTGCATGTGGAAGTTGTGCGAGGGACTTCCTTGATTACAGGCTCCATTTCTTATCCTTGCCCGTAGACAGAGAAGAGGCTAATAGCTGAAATCTTTCACTTCTTACTAGATTGATGAGAATTGCAGACCTTTTTAAAGAAATAGTGTCAAGTCAAAGAAATGGTAAAATTTCTACAAAGTTACTCCTTTTCCTCCCTTTTTAATCAGCCTATAGTAGGAAATCAGAAATTTGAAATGATTGCCTGAAAATCACTGGTTCTTACTTTAATCGATTTGATCTTTGTGAAATCAGAATCCCTATACTATGACCGACTATGTGTTGTCTTACATAATGTCTCTCGTTTGATGACATCAAGAAACTTGATATACTTGTTAGTAACCTTTCTCTTTCTATTTGAATTAAACAGAAGATGATGGAAAATGTTTTTCTTTCACTTAATTACCGATGTGTAGTTATTTTATTTTACACAGATATTATTCCATTTGAACTTTAAACCTGTGATTTTCCCCAGTTTATAAAAATTAAACAGATGTCAGGTGGCTTGCTGAAAATAACAGACTTTATTATCAATTGAATCATATTTCACAGTTTAGATAAATAATGACTATATTGAGGCATTCTCAAAGTGTTTTAAAATTATAGAACATGTTTTGTTTTTTAAGTAAGTAGGCATATTAAGAAAAAGGTAAATCTCAATGAGTACTGTAAGCACTATCAGTTTCAGTTGAAGTATATATGTAGGTTATAATAGATGGACTCTCTACATAAGATATCAAATGTGGATGTAGGGGCCTTACATGGAGGGTTATAAATTGTAAAATCTTATTATCCTTATCATGTACAGTTTCTGGAAACTTAGGAGTGAAGGCTGAAATGTTAAAATAATATGCAAAATTGTTTTCAGCCATGTTCTGAGATACAGTATCAAGTTTCTTTATACTATCAATATGTATTAGGTGGTGCCATGTGCCAGGCACAGAGCTAGATACTGGTTATGGACATCAGTAATAATAGTTTTACCTTCTAGGAATCATAGTGTAGTAGAAAAGAAAAAAAGGGTGAACCCATACATTATAACTACAATATGCAATCCTACGGGAATGTACAACAGGGAATTGCATTCTAAAAGAGGTAACATCTGTAAGTGGTTAGTTTACTAGTATACCTGGTATATAGGAATGATACTAAATTACAAC